CCCCCCCCCCAACTCTGACATAAATGTCAGAGAATTCGGAGCTAAATAGGGGGTTGTCTCCGGAAGTGATAAACTACCCTTGCTGCACGTATTTGGTGTGTTTGTTTGTTGTTGACGACCAGCACGACCAGTAACCACATTCAGTTTGACGAAGGTTCGAAATCTTTAGAGTTGTAAACATTTCTTTAGGGATCTGTTGGATTATACATTTGTGGCTATCTATCGTTTCGTCCAGCTCTTTAGTTTGCAATATCCTTAACAAGACACAAGATCAAGGCAACTACTACATCTACTTTTCGTGCAATGCGTCAGTGGATTGCAATACTAGGTGCAGCCGTGCTACTTGCCTGTGCCACGGCTTCGGGGCGCGATGGATTCGACGAGGTTGTTAAAAGCTTCGGTGAAAACGGACGACGAGAGAGCCATTGTCGGTTTAGACAAGCTCATTTCCCCTATTAAATCCGGTGCGTCGAAAGTCGCCCAAGGTGCCGAAGCTACGCGGTTGAATGTTTGGCTGCTAAAGAGAAAAACGGTTGTTGGCGCTTTCACGAAACTGAAGTAAGACCAAGGCGTGGATAAGGCTCTTTCCAGTCCAAACTTGAAGACTTTGAGCAATTACGTGGATATGCTTAAGAAGAAGTACCCAGACAACCAAGTGTCAGTAGTTGAGACTCTCACGGCAAAGTATGGCGAGGCTGCTGTTGCCAAAGGTCTCGTGACTGCGAAGCGAGCCACAAACTCGAAAGATATTGCTGCAAAGTTGCAGGCTGAGCAGTTACATGGTTGGTTGAACAGCGAGAAGTCTGTCAACGACGTCTTCATGTTACTGAAGATAGCTGATGACGGCGTCTTATTCGCGATAAGCCGAAAAATGGAAACGCTGGACGAATATATCAAGCTTTTCAATACGAAAAATCCACAACGTCAGACAAATTTGTTCAGGGCGTTACGGGACGGATCCGGTGAAGACAAGTTTGTCGTCGTGGTTGCGAAGGCCATGACATTACCTAAAACTGCCGTTGCGGCACGCGGTTTTCAGAAAACGCTGTTTAAGCGGTGGATCAATCAAGACTATGACCCAGCGAGCATTTATGTCAAGGTGTTCAAGGTTCCAGAGAACAACATGGGGTCTGTTACTTCTGAAATGAAGTTGGTCAATAGACTATAC